AAAAGAAAATTACGGTAAGCATGAAACAATTTTCCATTTTCCTGACCATTATTCATGGCAGCATTTACTCATGGGGAATACCCAAGCATTATATATAGAGGGAGGGACAGAGTTCAAAAACAGCTAATAGTTATAAAACCATTATTGAGCTGTATAAATCTTAGAAGACTTTACAAAGCCAAACAAGAATTGATAGGAAATTGTCATAACATCTGCTCAGACAAGATAATTTTCCTTAGAGGCTGCAAGGTCAGCAACCTCCTGGCATTCAATATCTGAAATATCCTGAATAAATATAGAGAGTCAGATAGGAATTAAGGCCATGATAGCATAAGCCAGAGAAGGAAAATGTCATTCTGATATAAAAATGTAAAAACCAAATTGATAATCAACAAATCAGAACCTTGACAAAGGCATAACTTCCAGAGATCATACTGGAACAAGCAGATAATGTTGGATGAGAACGGACACACCATGCTATTAAATGCGGGGAGAATTACACTGAGAATCCTACTACTTACTGGATGTATTTATTAAATACGATTCACACCGCTTCCTCTTGCCTTGTGAACTACTTACCTGAAGATACAGGAACAAATCAATATCTGCCTGTCAGAAAGAGGCAGAGCCTAGTAGAGAAATAAGAGTCTGTTATTAAAACACTGTAACATTGACCCGATGATGCAAAATTCAGATTCACAACAATACCTCACACAGTGGATGAATTGATACAGCAATGATCAGTCACAGGAGAGGAATAAACTAATAACATTACTAGGCAAAGGCAAGAAGAATCATATACAGATTAGTTGAGGGGAAAAAAAGAAATAAATCGTTATGAACCATAGAATTTGTGGCAACTACTAAATTATAAGGAGGCCAACCACGTTAGTACCTACATTCAAAGATAAATATATTGTAAATAGTACAGATTATGCCAAACAGTATAATCAAATTTATTAGAGACCGTTGTGCAACATAAGCAAGAGATATATAATAGGCAAGATACTGATGGGAAGGTGGTAACCAGAGGCACATTATACATTGTGGCAACAGACACATAATAAGCAGCATAGTAGAAGATATTCAGTTATCCTTATGAGAACAACAACCGCATACTTACTCTTACCTTATCTTCAGATAGTGAAGTACTTATGGCAGAGCCTATGGTGATAATAAGCAACTTGTTATATCTGCAAGATATCAACACCAATCCAAAGATATAATCCACAAGTATTAAATCAATGCAATGTTAGGAGTGACCATAACTTATACAGATCTAGGTACAGAGACCATGTAAAACATATCAGTCAAATGTTTGTCATCAACAAGCTGCATTACATTATGCAGGATGAATCAACCATTTAAAGCCACACATTGGTTGCAAATTCCAGATATAAGGACACCTAGAAGAACCCCCATGAATATCAGAAGAGAGGTCCGTAATGGAACTACCTGTTTAGGGATTTCCTCAATTGTTCAGGCAGCAGGTGAATTTTACCTGAAATAGTAAACCTGGTAGAATGGTCTGGGGACTGGAAAGACCTTAAAATACTTGCAATACACAGCATCAAAGTTACCTGGAGCATATGAGACTAAAAGAATACCTTTATTGCAGAAAGGAAATTATAATGTTCCCCTTCACAACAGGGGAATCTGTCAGAAGTTTCTGATCATTAACTCCTTAAGAACCAAAAGCATGCCACCCCTGACATATACTAAAGGTATTGCCAAACTTTCAGGTATACAAGGGATAAAAGAGAATACTGAATATAAATTTTATGCTTTAAGGAAATGAATTCAGGTTTAAAGAATAAAAGGTTATGACCAGGTGAAAGAAAAAACAATATTAACAGCTTTTAAATCAGGTAATGGCTTCAGCGTTACCTACTTATGAGATCAATTAATAGCCAAATTTGTGCTCCTGCAACCAGTATGATCTAATAATCTAATAATAATCAGCATATATCTAAAGGTAAAACACTGCCACCAATTGAAAAAACATTCCTTATCTAGAGCAGAGGGGAGAGGATGCCTGGCAATAGAAAAACTTTTGTAGATGGGTCTCATGTATAAATACATAGGAGTGCACACACAAAAAAACCAAACGATTATGTTAAACATTACCATGCTTCATTTTGGAAAAACAGGTCTCCTTCTCTCCTGGGAGAGGCACTCAGACAGGTTCGGTAACATCTGCAATCTATCTGAAGTGGTAAAATGTGTTAATTGCTTATCCTGAAACACCTGTGGGAGAGGGAATCTAATACAAAGCAGTATGTTTCCTTATCTACTTCATTTAAAAAACTGAAATAGAAAATCCACAGTAGGCAATAATTACTTACCCAGTACAACAGTGCATTTGTATTTGCTAGAATTGGGCATTGTTACAAAACAGACTTTAGATCATTTGTATATATTAAATCTACCAATGCCGTGTATAAATTAGGGTTATATAATACTACCAACCTGCATACAGATTATATGAATCACGTACATTGTGGATGTTTCTGACAGCACCTTATGCACAGATATATCAGTTACATATACTGAGTCTGTTCAAACAGTAATCATAAATAGCCTACCTCTGCTTTAAACAGTGACACTATGCCTGTACACATATTAAGATTATATGAGTGAGATAAAATGAGGCTGTGTTTTAACAGAACTTCATGCACATAATATACCACTCACAAATACCAAGGTTGTGACTCACAACCCACACATAGAACCAGTATTAAATTGGACTCATATAGCGGATGTACTTATATCATTCACATATATTGTGCTTCCACTAATACATCAATCATATAGAGAACAGATACACTGAAGCAATGTCTCCACACCATCTTACCTATAGAGCATTTAGAGGGCATATACTGAGGCTGTGTTTTCACAGCGACTCAGAGCATATAAAGAACACACACTGAGGCAGAGTCTCCAGATCAACTCATACATAGAGCATATAGTGGATATATATACTGAGGCTGTGTCCTCATAGTAACTCATACATAGAGCATATAGTGGGTACATATACTGAGGCAGAGTCTCCAAATCAACTCATACATAGACAATATAGTGGATACATATACTGAGGCTGTGTCCTCATAGTAACTCATACACAGAGCATATAGTGGATACATATACTGAGGCAGAGTCCTCATTGTAACTCATACATACAGCATATGGTGGGTACATATACGGAGGCTGTGTCCTCACAGTAACTCATACATAGAGCATATAGTGGATATATATATACTGAGGCTCTGTCTTCACAGTAACTCTTACATAGACCATATAGTGGATATATATATATATATATATATATATATATATATACTGAGGCCGTGTCCTCATAGTAATTTACACCAAGAGCATATAGTGGGAACATATACTGAGGCCGAGTCCTCATAGTAACTCCTACATAGAGCATATATATATATATACACATACACACATAAATACATATATATATATATTTGTGTGAGGGGCAAATAAGGCCGTATAGGAATTAAAAGGAAAATGAGTCGGTTGAGGTGTGCCGTAACCGACGTCGTGGTAGGCCTGTAATAAAAGAGGGCAAAAATTGGATACCTGTCAGAAATGAAAAACAATCAACAAAACCTAATTGCCTAGCTGTATGGTAAATGCCGAGCGAGTAACTAGTTGCCCAGCGCTTAACCGGCACTCTTCGTTATGCAAGGGGAAGTAAGGTATGGTAAAAATGTTGGCCCTCTAGGGTAGACTAAGTGTAGGGGTAGAGAAAGGTTAACAATAGACTGCATGAATAGGTGAGACTTCCTGAGATAATGCTACAATAAGGACGTGGTGGCTGTGGGAAAGTATGTGATACCCAAGAAACTGTGGAAGCAGGTATAGCGGCTCAACAACTAGATTACATAGTTTAAGTGACTAGTTCCCACTAAGTACAAACGGTTGATCCAAAAGAAGGCGAAAAACCCAGTTTGAAGCGCTGCCAATTTGCAACAAGCTGGGAAAAAAAATTCCTTCTTGACCCCATAATGGCAATCAGATTTCCTTGGATCAAGCAGTTATTGCCCTACATTGAAAGTAGATGCCCGGTTCGTAGTGTCAGGCCTTTAATAGGTCTGATAGTCGTTGAGATACTTGGATGTTAATGTGAAATCTGTAAATTTGAAATTTCCCGTACCTGAAACGCCTTGAGTATGGTATGAAGATATGAAAACTGTGTATGAATGGTAAACCTGTACAACAGTGGAGTTGTAAACCGGATAGGAAGAGTTAATGCAAGTTAGAGGTGGCAAAAGAAGCAAAACCAAAATGCAGACAACACAGCAACAGATACAGTATCAGTATAAGCGAAGAAGGAACCTCAAAGGGGAGGAAGGCCCTAACACACGTACCGCGAGCATTGGAAAAGAGCCAGATGTGAAAAGATGACGACCATGAGCTTGCAAGGCTGGCAGCCTGTGGTCGGGCCCTAAAACGCAGGGAACGGTAGCGGCTACGGGAGAGTAGGAGTAACCGAAACACCACTGCGCGATGAGTATCAGACCTAGCCAGAGAGCTCAGGTGAAAAAACAACGCCAAACGCCAAGCGGCGGAGACCTGATGGAAAAAGAGACGAAAAAAAAACAGCGCATAAGTGACCCAAATTGCGCATGAGTGTGAAAGTGTGTGAGTGTGCGTGCTGGCATACTAGCTAATGCCAAAAGGCGAAGCAATTAAAAACTAGGTTTGGTGACAGGTGAGGCCCTGCTACATGCCAAGTGGCGAGAGAGGCTCTAACTATGAGTTGGCGCGAGGGGATAACGTGGCCACTGAACGTTGTGGCGGGGTGTTGGCCTCTCGGTGACAGCTAAACATAAGATAGAATGGGAGTGACAGGTGAGGCCCTCCCTATGCCACAATGCGAGGCAACTAACTATGATTTGGCCCGAGGGGCGTAGTACCTCCGAGTGTGAGGATGGGTGTTGGCCTCGCGGGACCACTAAGCTAAGGCGAAGAAGCCAGGGGGGGAATTACCAACTAGTGGACACCTAGGACCCTGACAGCCAGCCACAGCTAACTAAGAGGGGAGGGAAGGTAGTGTGAGAGGATAGGTTTGCTGAATGTGTATAGACAAAGTGAGTGTGAACGAGGAAACACTGCAGAGCCAACCGCAACTGAAAGCAGAGGAAGCACCGCAGTGTCCAGGTGGACGGCTGAAAGGAGCGAGCCCGGCAGTAGGTAACAGAACAGAGTTGGTGTAAACCCCACGGGGGTCACGAGACCCAGTGCGGGTGTATGTGTGTGTGAGCGTGCGCGGGAGTGCTGACATACTAGCTAAGCCAAAAGGCAAAACAATTAAAACTAGGTCTGGTGACAGGTGAGGCCCTGCTAGATGCCAAGTGGCGTGAGAGGCGCTATCTATGCGTTGGCGTGAGGGGATAACGTGTCCACCAAAACGTTGTGGTGGGGTGTCGGCCTCTCAGTGACAGCTAAACATAAGATTGAATGGGAGTGACAGGTGAGGCCCTCCCTATGCCACAATGCGAGGCGACTAACTATGATTTGGCCCGAGGGGCGTAGTACCTCCGAGTGTGAGGATGGGTGTTGGCCTCGCGGGACCACTAACCTAAGGCGAAGAAGCCAGGGGGAATTACAACTAGTGGACACCTAGGACCCTGACAGCCAGCAACAGCTAACTAAGAGGGGAGAGAAACGAGTGAGATAGGGGATGCACTGTGAGCGAAAAGAAAGAGGGGGCGGTGTACGAGGAAGAAAACGTACGGCCGACCGTAACTGAAGGGCAGAGTGAACCCATCGGAGTCCAGGCAGTCAGGTTGAAAGGAGCAAGCCCGGCAAAAAGGTAATAGGATCCGTGCTGGTGTAAAACCACCGGGCTCGCGAGACCCAGTGTGATTGTGCATGTGCGTGCGAGTGAGCGCTGGCATACCAGCTAAAGTCCCCCCCCCCCCAAAAAAAAGGCGAAACAATGAAAACTAGTTTTGGCAACAGGAGAGGCCCTGCTAGATGCCAAGCGGCGTGAGAGGCTCTATCTATGCGTGGCGCGAGGGGATAAAGTGGCCACTGAACGTTGTGGCGGGGTGTTGCCCTCTTGGGGGAAATGAACTGAAAAATAGAGCACAAATGACACACACCGTCCATCTGTGCTATCCTTAGGACACAAAGTTAAGTGGACATGTGGTGGTATGTGGGGTGGCCACATGGACGCCTGTTTGGCAGTGAGTGTAGATGTGTAAGTGCGATAATGCTGCAGGCAGCGAGGAAAAGAGGAGAAAATCACAACCGTGGTAACTACACCTTAATAAGCACAAAAACCTGAAAAATAGCCATAGGAAAAGCCTGAAACACTGCACCTGTGACAGAACAGAAAAATTTATTTAGCACAGACTGCCTGCATGGGTTGTGGTTTGAAATGAACACGAACCAGCACATCTTTCTGCCCAGTGACACAGGACTCCCCAGATTAAATAGCCACAAAGCTAGCATGTGAGCCAAAGTAACCAGCTGAAAGCATTCAGAGAATGGAATGGTGTCCTGCCAACCACTTACCCTCTGAATAACGACACACCACACGCTGTGTAAACACCAAACACACAGGCTCCTGAGACCTGTATCAAAAGGGAGCTTGCCAGTCCTAAATGCAACATTATCCCCAACTCAGTGTCCAGCAATCAGCAGCTCCCATATTCATGTACTAGACAGGCATGTGGAGGTGGAGTGCTGGGAACCTAAACAGCACTGTAAAACTATATAGCGTACAAAATATGCACTTAGTGCTCCTTTAAGAAGCACCTGTTCAGGGCTTAATAATTATAAAGGAGCGTTTGAGCACTTTGTATATAACAACTGCTTAATAATATTTGAGGGAGAGGGCATATCTGCTGATACAGGATGCAGCCCCCGTCCAGAAACACCCGGGGAAAGTCACAGGAGTCCCAAAGTACATCCGTGCAGAAAATCACCAAGCCAGCGAAACGGCGGGCAGTTCGGGAAAACAGCCGCACGCCTGACATCCACGAAAACACGGAAACCATGCGAACCAGGAGGGGAAAACGGCAGGCCAGGTAAGGAGAAACCACAAGGGAAACCGAGTGCGACCGGAAATAGCGACATGCGAGTCGCTAAAAAACGTACGGGACGGAGGAAGGTGAGTGGGGGTTAAGTAGGGTAACATGCCCCTCCCATAACTGCAGGCCAAGCCTTTACATATATATACATACATACTGAGGCTGTGTCCTCATAGTAACTCATACATAGAGTATATAGTGGATACATATACTGAGGCCGTGTCCTCATACAGGGAGTGCAGAATTATTAGGCAAGTTGTATTTTTGAGGATTAATTTTATTATTGAACAACAACCATGTTCTCAATGAACCCAAAAACTCATTAATATCAAAGCTGAATATTTTTGGAAGTAGTTTTTAGTTTGTTTTTAGTTTTAGCTATGTTAGGGGGATATCTGTGTGTGCAGGTGACTATTACTGTGCATAATTATTAGGCAACTTAACAAAAAACAAATATATACCCATTTCAATTATTTATTATTACCAGTGAAACCAATATAACATCTCAACTTTCACAAATATACATTTCTGACATTCAAAAACAAAACAAAAACAAATCAGTGACCAATATAGCCACCTTTCTTTGCAAGGACACTCAAAAGCCTGCCATCCATGGATTCTGTCAGTGTTTTGATCTGTTCACCATCAACATTGCGTGCAGCAGCAACCACAGCCTCCCAGACACTGTTCAGAGAGGTGTACTGTTTTCCCTCCTTGTAAATCTCACATTTGATGATGGACCACAGGTTCTCAATGGGGTTCAGATCAGGTGAACAAGGAGGCCATGTCATTAGATTTTCTTCTTTTATACCCTTTCTTGCCAGCCACGCTGTGGAGTACTTGGACGCGTGTGATGGAGCATTGTCCTGCATGAAAATCATGTTTTTCTTGAAGGATGCAGACTTCTTCCTGTACCACTGCTTGAAGAAGGTGTCTTCCAGGAACTGGCAGTAGGACTGGGAGTTGAGCTTGACTCCATCCTCAACCCGAAAAGGCCCCACAAGCTCATCTTTGATGATACCAGCCCAAACCAGTACTCCACCTCCACCTTGCTGGCGTCTGAGTCGGACTGGAGCTCTCTGCCCTTTACCAATCCAGCCACGGGCCCATCCATCTGGCCCATCAAGACTCACTCTCATTTCATCAGTCCATAAAACCTTAGAAAAATCAGTCTTGAGATATTTCTTGGCCCAGTCTTGACGTTTCAGCTTGTGTGTCTTGTTCAGTGGTGGTCGTCTTTCAGCCTTTCTTACCTTGGCCATGTCTCTGAGTATTGCACACCTTGTGCTTTTGGGCACTCCAGTGATGTTGCAGCTCTGAAATATGGCCAAACTGGTGGCAAGTGGCATCGTGGCAGCTGCACGCTTGACTTTTCTCAGTTCATGGGCAGTTATTTTGCGCCTTGGTTTTTCCACACGCTTCTTGCGACCCTGTTGACTATTTTGAATGAAACGCTTGATTGTTCGATGATCACGCTTCAGAAGCTTTGCAATTTTAAGAGTGCTGCATCCCTCTGCAAGATATCTCACTATTTTTGACTTTTCTGAGCCTGTCAAGTCCTTCTTTTGACCCATTTTGCCAAAGGAAAGGAAGTTGCCTAATAATTATGCACACCTGATATAGGGTGTTGATGTCATTAGACCACACCCCTTCTCATTACAGAGATGCACATCACCTAATATGCTTAATTGGTAGTAGGCTTTCGAGCCTATACAGCTTGGAGTAAGACAACATGCATAAAGAGGATGATGTGGTCAAAATACTCATTTGCCTAATAATTCTGCACTCCCTGTAGTAACTCATACCTAGAGCATATACTGGACACACACTGAGACTTCATACCAATTCATACATTAGAGCATTTAGTGGAAACATACCAATGCTGTACCACCACCAGATCATGTACAGATACTGAGACCCAGTGGTCTCCTGTGCAGTATATTCTTCGACTGTCTGCAAAGCCTGCTTATTTGTGATAATGCACAGATAACAGCAATCAATGCCACATACCTGTCAGGGTACCTGTTGGTGCTGACTCCAGGGAAGACATCCTCTCTGTTTAGGGGCTCCTTGCCCCTAGCATTTCGGCAATTTCCGGCCGTTTTCGCGCCGGCCGCGCTAGCTCCTCCCCCTTTTATGACGCGACGGCTAGCGTCGACGTCATGACGTCAGCATTACGTGAAGTGCCGGGAACCGCTATTCCGGACCTTTTGGGGGCGTGGTCTCAATTAAGGTGACAGGGTATTTAAAGGAAACCTTTACTACTGCTCATTGCCCTGTCGTGGTTCTAGCTTGCTAGTCACTCAGCGCGTTCTCTCTCTTGTGTTTTCGGTTTTGACCTTGCTTGTCTTTTGTCCTGTTGTCCTCTCCTCTCCTTTGACTCGGCTTGTATCTCGCTTACCTGTCCTCCGGCTCCCTCGACCTCGGCTTACCTTTTGACTATTCTTGTTTTGTCCATACGTTAGTCCGGCCATTCTAAGGTCCGGTATACGTACCTCCTTCTGTCCGCACTCTGCGTATTGGATCCCTGTCAGTATCCTGACAATACCTTGATAGAAACAAGTGTGTGTGTGGACTTTAGGTTTTTAAAACCTGTCATATACATGTGTGTACCTTAATCAGACACCCAAGAAGGTTCTCTTACCTTGGATATTTCTCTGTCTTCAGGCTGTGGAATTCCAGCAGACTTTATACAGCCAGGATATCCATTATTAGCACTCTTTTTCACAGTGTCTCATTGCATTATCAGCACTCCTTTGCACAATGCCTCCTTGCATTATCAGCACTCTTTTTGCATTATCAGCACTACTATGCCCAATGCATACTGGTATTATCAGCACTCTTTTGCACCAAACATCCTTATAAACTTACCTAAATGCTCACCACACAAATCTCCTAAATGTGACCTATTTTCTAGAAGGAAGCCTAATGTAAGCAGCTGGGAGGGACTGAAAGAACAGAGACCCAGGTGCCTATACTAGTTTTAATCTAAATTACTAATGCACTTACCTGAACCGTTGCAGGCCTGTGTTTCAGCGGCAAAATGAGGATTTGAACAACTGACAGCCTAAACTGTTTAAACTATAGGCTTCCATCTGTACCCCATTTGCCATTCATCATCACCATACAAGGTAGAATACATAGAATAGGTATACTCCAGTAGTCACAACTCTGTTGGGCC